CTCCATGATGTTGATGATGGGAGATCCTCCTCCATCAAATCCCACCGTCCAGATCCCGCCTTGGGATTACCTCGAAGATCCGACGGCCCACATCCACTCCCCCGCCCTGGCTGCGCTGCAGCGGTTCCTGCCGTCCAACAAGCCGGAGGAGGAAGAGGACGAGATCTCCGACGGCGACTTCGATTTCCCGGCGGATGCATTCTCTTGCGACGATTTCCGGATGTTCGAGTTCAAGGTGCGCGCGTGCGCGCGGGTGAGGTCGCACGACTGGACGGAGTGCCCGTTCGCCCACCCTGGGGAGAAAGCCCGCCGGAGGGACCCGCGTCGGCACCACTACTCCGGCAGCCCATGCCCAGACTTCCGAAGGGGCGCGTGCCGGAGGGGCGATTCCTGCGACTATGCACACGGCGTTTTCGAGTGCTGGCTCCACCCGGCTCGCTACCGCACCCAGCCGTGCAAGGACGGGATCCACTGCCGCCGCCGGGTCTGCTTCTTCGCCCACACGCCGGAGCAGCTACGAGTCTTTCCGCTCACCGGAAGCGCCAACGGGTCGCCCCGTCATCCCGAACCGGATCCCTTCGTGTTGTTGGGGTCCTCCCCCCGGTCGACTCCGCCAGGTGAGTCACTGAAACTGAGTCAACTCACTGAAACAATGCGCGGTCTGCAAATCAGCAATATGAGGATAGGCTTGGGTCCTGGGTTGAGTACGACCTCCGGGTCGTGGGGGTTAGGTTTTGATTCCCTTAGCTGTCCTCTGGAAACCAGATCCGGATTTATTAGCCTGCCGTCGACACCAGTTCGAGTGGTAACTCGGTCGGGACTCAGTCCATTGGACACTTGGGAAGCTTCCTGCCAGGAGGAGCCGACGATGGAGAGAGTGGAGTCGGGCAAAGCTTTGCGTGAAAAAATCTACCAAAAGATCGGCCAAGAGAACTCGTTGGATCGGATCGGCAGAGTCGAATCGGTTAGTGGGGTCCCCATTTTTGGTGGGTTTCGGAGCTTGTGAAGTGGATCGGACCCGGGGTAAGGATATGTTCGGACTTCGGAGAACTACCTTAGATCTGGCAGCCTCTTTTGTTTTGAATCCAGCTTGTTTTTAAAAGACGGACTACGAATTTTTTTCTCGACTCGTTGAACAGCACTGTACATGTGTGGTTGACGGCCGGTTCGAGCTTGGGATGTTGGGTGTTGTGTTGATTATCTTCTCCTACTGTGATTGTTATTAATTAATTTCAATTGGGGAAGAAGATAGGCAAATTTTTGTAATTGCTGTACATAACGAAGTTTCTCGAGGCTGCAATATATTTTCATTAGACATGACTACGGGTCGAATGGGTAAATTTTTGTAATTGTTGTACATAACGCTTTTTAATTTTTGTAATTGTTGTACACACGCTTTCGAAGTTTCTCAACGGTGCATTAATTTTTGATTAGATATGACCACGACTGGAACTTGTGAAAATGGGTAAATTTTTATAATTGTTATATATAACTCTTTCAAATTTTTGTAATTGTTGTACATAACGCGCTTTCGAAGTTTCTCTCGAAGCTGTAATATATTAGAGAATCTCCCGTGTATGAATGTAAATTTTAAATGTTCAGGCTACATCCTTGTATATAATATGATAACTGCATTCCCTAAATATCAATGTTATAGCAATAGCCAAATACTATGTAGAATGCACCAATTTCTTTCATTGCTTGTATATAATATGATAACTGCATTCTCTTAATATCAATGTTGACAGTAGAAATAGCAACAGCCAAACACCACTTTCTTTCATTCTTGTTATTGGGATATTGTTTTTTTTAATAGATTGAATAGTCTTTTACTTTCATCTTAAACTGATTTTTAAAATTTTAGTAGATTGAATGAGTTTTTTAGTAGTATACATATATGAATAACAACTTAACAAGCATATCTCCTAAATGTATCTTTATTTTGTTATTTCACATAAATACAACATGTTGATAACCATCATATTATCCTTTCTGAGTTTAAACGGCAAAATTTCAAAATTGGTCCTATAACTTGGCCACTGTCCAAAAAACCACCCCGATATTGACCACTTTCAATTTAAGTCCTATAATTTGTCGATTTCATCAATTTTGGTCCTTTTTTATCCGCCCCTGGATTACAAAGTGACGTGGCATGACGTGTCAGTTTTTCAATGTTACATGGCGTGATTATGATCTACGTGGCACGTCAATTTTGGTCCTATAATTTGACGATTTCATCAATATTGGTCCTTTTTTCATGTCACGTCACTTTTTAATCCAGGGTGCGGATAAAAAAGGACCAAAATTGATGAAATCGACAAATTATAGGACCTAAATTGAAAGTGGTCAATATCGGGGTGGTTTTTTGGACAGTGGCCAAATTATAGGACCAATTTTGAAATTTTCCCGAGTTTAAACATATCTGGAGACTTTTTTTTTTTCAATATCTAGAGACTCAAATATTGATTTTAAACATATTTGTAGACTCATATGTGTTCACGTATTCTTTAATTAGGTTTGCGCGTTTTTTTTTCTTTTTACTAGATTTTAGTCACTTTTATATATAAAAAAGTTAATTTTATAAAGTCATACACCTTAAATGTTTATGTATATGTACGTATATATAAAACTATTTCTCGTTTTTCTCCACTTTCCCAAATTTTTTTTCCACGATTCTACAAATTTTGGGACGTTTTTTTTCTTAGTCATGCCGTCAAAGACACTGTGTGGTTTCAAACAATGGGCTTGACTACTGTCAAGCCACGTCACACAAAATTAGACTACGACAGAACCCATTGGAGAGATAAATATGAAGACATTATATCTAATAATGACATGGCATTCATTTTTTTTACTCGACAGTAATGCATTGGAGATGCTCTTATGATAAGAGATGACCACCGGATCTTGAAAATCCCGGGCCGATTCTGGTTCAAACATTTATAAATTGTGAACCAACAATTTCGGTTTCGACCGAAACTGGAACTGGCGTTTCAACTTATTTTATTTTTCATGTTTAATTTTGATTATCTGCTTTGTTCGCCTAGCAAGTTTGATTCGAGTAAATTTAGCTTAATATTATTTTATTATGCAAAATAATGGGGTATGTTTGGAGAATCAAATATTTTTCATATGCGACCTATCATTATTTTATTACGCAAAAAATTATCTCATCACCAATTCATACTTTTTATAGGCCTTTACTGCAAAGTAGGTATACTCTGTTTTTTATACTTCGTCGAGTTTCTAATACCTAAAGGCTATTATAAGGAATCAATTTATTATTTGATTGTTATTGTTTGGAGATCTATTTACCTAGTATATACCTATTATTATGCTCAATCCTTGCTCGTAAGCAATTAATTATTTTACGTCACTTTGCGTCACGAACAATTTGGAACACATTACGTCTTGAACGGTCCTCTTTGTTGAGCTCCGATGACCAGCAATACGATGTGAGGGGGTCCCGGCGGAAAGCTCTCCGACGCTCTAGTCAGAACTCGCTCAAACTATATATAAAAAAGTATATGAATAAGGCGTGAAATGCGTGTTATTTATGAAAGGGAACCTGTCGCCCTTATATAAGGCTGATACCTTTGGGCTGAAGAGAGTTCTTGTTAGGGAAAAGATCCAACCACATCCTACTTCCCTAATTTACCATGTCTCTATCTTGGTAAGAGTCTTTGAGCGAGCAAATTCTTTCCTTCTTACTAGGATTCTTCCCCCTTTATTGTTTTAGCCCGTGGGTCCTTAGGTAGTGACTCCGGCCACTTAACCAGTCTGTCGTGGCCTCTTCGAGAGCGAATCTGACCTTATCTAGAAGTCTAACTCGACCTCATCCTTAGGTCAAACCTGCCCTAAAACTACCCGACCTCGATACCTCGAGGTCGGTTACTTTGTCGGGCTTCTGGAGGTTGCACTTTCTGGTCGTGTCTTTTTTGGTAACTATTTGTTATGTTTTTGTGGTTTTTTGCATGTGTTTTATGTGCTTTAGCGAGTCTTTTAAGGTTCATTTTAGTGTTAACTGGTCCATTTTGTCATGTTTCGTGTATTTTTGTTTTTGTCGTGTGTCTTTGTGTTCTGACGTATTTTCTCGTATCCTTTGGTGTTATTTAATTCCATCATGCAAAAAGTTTGAGAAGATGAGCTGTTCGAGCCATCCGAGTCATCCGAAAGAAAGAGTCATGACTGAGGTTCCGACCACACTCACCGCGAGTCCATGTTCTCGGGTCTGCAATCTGTGAGAGACCCGAGCATGTCAGTGTCGCACTCGTCGAGAGATGCCGTCCGCGACCGTGCGCAAGACCTAGGCCACATGCAGGACACTCGCAGCGAGTTCCGTCCTGTGAGGCAGTGTGAGACCCGTTCGCAAAACTTGCATGCACCACTCCTGCACTCGCAGCAAGTTCTGTCCCGCGAGGCAGTGAGAGAACCACGCGAGACCTGCGAGAGAACCGTGGCACTCGCTACAAACTTCAGTCTGCGAACCCGCGAGACCCGTCTCATGCGTGAGAATCATGGCACTCGCTGCGAACTTCAGTCTGCGAGCCTGCGAGACCTGTCCCGTGCCACCCCATGCACTGGCCCGCGAGCTCTATTCCTCGTGGCCGCGAGTACCGCGCCTGAGGAAGACCGACATATGCACATTCATAGCGAATGCCAGTTCGCGAGGTCGCGAGTTCCAATTAGTAAATGTGTGTGAAATCACTGTGTGTACCCTTGGAGTATAAATACATTTAGTTTTTTGTATTGGGAAGATCTAGACTTTATATATCACTTTTCTATTTTGGGATTTGTTACTTTATTTTTTCTTTCTACGTTTATGTTTGGGAGCTCCAAGACTCATGTTTTTCAGCGATTCCCTTTTTTATTAAAGTCTCGACCTTTTCGCATTAATTTCGTCCAAGCTTGCAAAAGAAGAGTAAGTACACTGCTTAAGACTTATTGCTTCGATTTTTGGTCCTTCTTGCTTATGAAGGTATTGAAGGTGAAGTTGGTGTCTTGGCCGAAGTTATGTGCTTAGGCTTGGTTTTTATATTTGTTTATTTTTCTTGCTTGTCTAAGTAAATTTAGGAGTTGAATTCGTGCTTATCTTGTATTAAAGGTTAAGACTTTGTTGAAAGCTTGATCATTTAGGTAGAAGGCTCGATTTAATTTCCTAGCACCTTAGTGATAGCATGTTTCTCTTTGTTTTATTTTTGTTTTTTCGAGTCGAGGAGACTCTGGGTGACCAAAGTTTGAATCTTTCTTCCAAGCTTGCATTTTTAATTAATTGCTTTTCAATTCCTTAGTCTAAATTAGTTTAAAAAAACCCCCCAAATCAATCGTTTAGAATGTCTAGGACTTTATTTTCTGTTTTTGTGCGTTTAAAAGTGAACAAAGCTCCATCTTTCTTGAGAGACGACCCGAGTTTCGAATAACTCGGGTATCAATCTATTCCCCAAAAAATCTAAAAAACAGTAGCTCGACACCTTAAGCCCATATATGAGCTACTTAACCGAGCATCTTACCTCTGTATGCACGTGAGCTCTCCCATTCTGGCCTTAACTAAGCTACCTGCTTAGACCGGTTTACCGAGCTATTTCTGAGTGCTATATCAAATTTCTTGGATAGCATTTTGTTATTCTCGCAAATATGTATAATGTTAAATTTAATTATTAGGGTACTATGAAAACAGCGTATTGTGCAAGTCACAGATGTAATCTATAAAAATAAGCCTAAGCACAGTAGATCTAAAGTGTGGATAGAACACTTACGACTTAAAAAAATTGCAGAATCAGAGATGACGACACGACCTATAGGGTCAGACAAATGGTTCTTAAATGTTCTTCTCGCCTTCGTCCTCTCCATTGGTCGTGGCTGTGGGCCTGCAGTGCTGATGCGGCTGGGTCGTGCAATTGCATGGCTCAACTGCGGCTGGCTCGTGGTGGTCGCACACGGTAGTCGTGGGGTTGCCAGTGGTCGTTCATGCGTACGTGCGGCCTCAGGTTACCTCGAGACTTCTGT